AAAAAAATTAGTAAAGTCTCAACTATTTGCATGTGTTATGACTGTGGATTTCTTTGGATTTGTTTTAACCTTTTTAAAATTATTTTTTGGTGCCAGTCCTGGAACTTGAACTCAGGGCCTGGGTGTTGTCCCTGAGCTTTTTTAGGCTCAAAGCTAGCATGCTACCCTGTGAGCCATAGCTCCACCTTGGGCTTTTTGCTGGTTAACTGGAGATGAGTCTCACAGACTTTCCTGACTGAACTGGATTCAAACTGCAAATTGCTGGTGCCTGGCTTTTTACAACCCAATTCCATTCTCACCTACACTAAGGGTAGAAAAAAAAAATCACAGAGTAATACAATTTGTGGCCAAGAAAGATGAACCTGTTTAGTATTAATAAATAACCCCATGGTATGGCAGTTTATTTGGTGTAAAGGATTTTAAATTCATTGCCCCTTATAAAAATTTCAGTAAGTCTGTGAGGTAATACAACCACTAATCCTACTTTAGAGATGGGGAAACTGAGTCTTAAGTAAAGGTCATGAAGGGTAGTTGTGGTGAAGCTGGAATTAAATCCAGGAAGACTATCCTCATGAGTTGTGTGGTACTTTCCACTATTACATTTGATTCTTAGTTTTGAATTTTCAGCAGAATAAGGAAAACTATAGTCAGTGGCATTCCTTCTTTCTCTACTCAGCATGGAGAACTTGGCTGTGTGTTTTTTGTCTAATGCTCTCCACCCTGTAGCTCAAACTGTTGGCAGAGACATCTTTCATAGTCACTGAATTGGTATTTAAGATCTATAGGTTAAAGAAGCTTGTTCTGGTGGAATGTAACTAGTATAAAACCTGAAGCACTACTTCATGTGATGACAAGGTCAACATCAATAGTGAAGTCATACAGCATAAACCCTTCAACATGTGATGAAAACAACACTCTCTATGATCTTCTCCCCAGGTCCAGAATTCCAGTCAATAATGAAAACAAAAACCAATCTATTAGATGGGTGGCTTTCACATACCTTATTCCTCAAGACTGCCAAAGACCAACACAGAGTGTGAATAAGGTTGAAGTATTTTATATGTGTGAAAATTCATTTAGAGACTTTGCTCTACATTTGCTGTCAAGACCAGCACTCTCCCACTTGACCCACAACTCTACTTTTGTCTTTTTTGTTTTGTTTTATGGACATCCTGGCCCAGGCTGGTTTCAAACCTTTATCCTTAGATCTCCTTAGTTTTTCATGGAGTGTTATTTTCCTTTTCATCCTGACTTTATGAATGAAAGCACTGAGTTTCCTTTATCTACTTTTGTAGGTTCTAGTTCACTTGGTTTCACCTCAGGCCTTCAGCTATAAAACTTCTAGCTAGTTGTGATGGTTTAAAATTATCTTCAAATCTTTTTATAGTCCTCAGAGGAAGAGTCTGATTCTCCTCCTCCCTCAGTGGGAGCCAGACTTAAGCCTCTCACCTCTAATAAATAGAATGTGGTGGGAGTGAGGAAATGTGACTTCCAAGATTGCATCATAAAAGGCCCTGCTGCTTCTGATCTCTTGAACCACTCACACGAGGAAGTCAGTGCCCTGTTTTAAGGATACTCTAGCAGTGTGGAGAAGCCTTACATGGCAAGCTGATCAGCTGTGTGTGAACTGCTCTAAAAGTGGATCCTCAGGCTCAGATAATAGCAGCTACACACAACTGTAACCTTACAAAAGATTTCAGCCAGAAGCTTTCAAAGTTACCCATACCTGAATTTGGGGCCCACTGTCAGAGATGATAAATGTTTCATATTATTTAAGAATGGTAAGCCTAAGGTTGATCCATTCTGTAGTAACAGATAAGTAATATACCACTTTTCTTACATAAATACAAGGACTTTCTTACATATATGAAGGACTAGCATAAAAATGTATGGGGCTGGGAAGGTGGCTCAGTGCTAGAGCGCTTGCCTTGCATGCATGAGGCTCTGGGTTCAATTCCTCAGCACAACATAAGCAGAAAAAGCTGGAAGTGGCACTGTGGCTCAAGCGGTAGAGCACTAGCCTTAGCTGAAGAGCTGAGGGACAGTGCCCAGGCCCAGAGTTCAAGCCCCATTACCAACAACAACAAAAAAAAAGTATGGTGCTAGGAGTCAGTGGCTCATACTTATACCTAGCTATTCAAGAGATTTGAGGATTGCCATTTGAAGCCAGCCCAAGCAGGAAAGTCTGTGAGAATTTTATTTCCAAAACAACCACCAAAAAGCCCTAAGTAGAGCTCTGGCTCAAGTGCTAGAGCACTAGCCTTGAGCAAAAAATCTCAAGGACAATGTCCAGGCCCTGAGTCGGCATCCTCAAATGAAGGCAGTCCTGAGTACTAGTGTCAAGGCTGTTATCTTAGATCCTTCCTGTTGAAGTCTGTCTTCTTGGCAGTTGCTGCTGCCGAATATTTTTTTTTTTCTCAATTGTGGGGCTTGAACTCAGGACCTGGACACTGTCTCTGAGCTCATTCACTCAAGGCTAGTGCTCTACCACTTTGAGCCACAGCATCACTTCCAGTTTTCTGGTGGTTAATTGGATGCACTATCCTATCCAGGCTGGCTTTGACTTGCAGTCCTCAGATCTCTGCCTTCTGAATAGCTAGGATTACAGGCATGAGCCTCCAGCACCCAGACAGTTAAGTATTTTAACACTTTTGTTTGTAGGCTCAGCTTACTTGTAGTTAACCACCCGTAGGTAGAGGAGGGTAATGAACCAATTACACAAAGGCCCTGTTTTTCTTTGACTAAAAATCCTAGGAAAATTGATCCACTTTGCTACAGCTACCTCTGAAACCTTTCTGGACTAGAAAGACAATCAATCACAAATTTGAGAACCTTCCATGGTTTGACTCAGGAAGATGTTTGGGAGATGAAGGCCCCAAATAAGTGCCTAGCTGTTATAAACACCATTTTCCAGTTTTAAAATCTACATAGTTCAAAGGATTTTAGATAGTGTGATAGAGCCAGGTTGGTTCACACTACGTTAAAACCAAGCTGGACTGATTTTTTTTTTCCAAGTTGACCTTCCCTTTTTCCAGAGACTCAATTACAAAACTTACCTGTTTTGTTTGCTTTGGTGTAACACTCACTGTTCTATTAATTATCTTTCTAGAATATTCACCAACAGGGCCCCTGAAGAATTGAAGAGTTCCTTTCTCAGAGGGCTAAGAAAACCCTAAGGCAAGCTCCAAGATGTGGCCAGTTGTTGCCAATTTGGGCTCACAGTGCAATGATGGTAACCCTGAATGTGGGAACAGTATGTAAGGCGCAGGAACCCAGTGAGCATCCGAGACTAGAAAAAGAACTTGTTCTCCCAAGCATACATAGAGGTCTGTGTGTGTCCCAGGACACTGGGAAGATAAGACCAAGGAGTTTCATTTCAGTTGTGCCAATTGTATCCAGAGAACAATGGCCATTAAGTGGTGCTCAATCTATAATTCTTTTTCCTCTACTCAGGGGATTAGAGACAAACACAAGCAGGTTAAATTTAGACTTTGGGGTTTTGCTTTCACTCCTGTCAGCTCCAATTCATACTCTGTGAAAGGGCAGATCTTGCCTTCTGCCCATCCCATGGAAGATTCATTTTCTCCACTAGCAAGAGATGGCAGTAACATCCAGGATGCATGGGGGAAGCTGCTGGCATTGGAACAAACTGCATTTCTTTTAGGAGAGGAGAAAACTCTTGAGAGGAACTGCAACATATTTTAGTAGTTTGGCATTTTGTTCTTGCCTTGTTTGTGTGTTTAATCTCAAAAAACGGGCTGCACTGCTGATACTATACAAGTTCAAGGCTAAATATCCAAAGGGATGCCAGTAGCTCTTGGTTCAGAAGACAGCAAAAATTCTTCAAAATTTTTTTTCATGATATGACCAGAATGCTTTTTTTTTTTTTTTTTTGCTGGTACTGGGGCTTGAACTCAGGGACATGTGTTCTTGCTTGGCTCAGCTGGCTCCATCTCCATTTAAGACTTTAAGAATCTTATGAACTTGTCTGCACACACCGGCTTCAAACTGTCATTTTAATTGGACATTGTTATGTAAGTATCAAGTAGCTGACTCCTTTTTATAAAATTCAAGTAAGTTTTAGGGCTTTCTCTCCATTTTTCCCTCCTCTGGAAGTGGCCATAAAGCACTTTTGACTCAGAGCAGGTTAGGTCTAATTCTTGGAAACTTCAGAATATACCATTTTTTTCTTTTGTGGGGCTTGAACTTGGGGCCTGGGCACTGTCCCAGGCCTTGAGCTCTTTTGCTCAAGGTTAATGCTGTACCATTTTGAGCCACAGCACCATTTCTGGTTTTCTGGTGGTTATCTGGAGATAAGAATCTCATGGACTTTTTTCTGCTTGGGCTGGCTTCGAACCACAATCCTCAGATCTCAGCCTCCCGAGTTGCTAGGATTAAAAGTGTGAGCCACCGGCACCTGAATAATACCATTTTTAGGTAGAATGTTGGCAGAAAGCTATCTATGGCACTATTTCACAGATATAGGTGTCCTGCTATTTTCTGTAAAGATTTTAAGCATTTTGGACATAGTAACACAACATGTTTTACCTACTCCAGAAATTCCTTGGACGAGTGGGATTTGTGTCTCTCAGGATGCCACACCCTCTTGTCCTTGGTAAGGTGCCCACATCTCCCTCCAAGTAGTCGTCCCTCCAGGTGGAACACAGAAAGGACAGGCTGATGGAAATGTGGGCTGAATTCCTCCATTGTCCACACTCACTGCTGTGTTCAGCTCTTAGAAACAATGATGCTTATGATATGCATGCTGTCAGAGTAATTGATAATAAGTATCAAATGTTTAGAATAGTGCCTAGTGAACAGCAAGCCCTTAACAATGTTAGCAGGTGGGCTGGGATGTAGCTCAGTGGCAAAGTGCTTGCCCAGCAACTGCAACATCCTGGGTTTGAGGACAAAGTTAGCTGATAATGTTTATAGGGATTGGCAGCTATGCAAATACAGTAAGTCAGAACTGCAGGGTTATTAAAGACAAACAGCTCATATTTTAAAATCTGAATTAGACAATTTGTATTCTAAAACACACATACACAAATCTGTACCAATTAAATACAATAAAGTTGAAAGGGGATATAAATTACAGGTTTTTCTTTTTAAAAACAGACAATAGTAAAATAACTACAGTCAGTTCACTATACACAAAAAGTCATGAACAGCAGCTTTTCAATAAAGTCTCCAATATATCTGACTCATTTATGGATGCAAGAACTTAAAAAAGGTACATACAGCAGGCTGTACACATTCTCTTGCTCTTCCTCTCATGACATGTCTGCATCTGTACAGACCAGTTATACAGGAAGCTACAGAATAGGTAAAGTACTGTAGTACAAATGTCCACAAGCATAACTCTACAGTGTCTCCATTCACAGGAGAACTTTACAACTGAAGACAGAGCCGCAAAGTACATCAACCATCTTCAAACAGTGAATAGTGAACCTGTGAACTCTGTAGTTCAGGCCATCTTGTCAGCATTTTTTTTTTCATAATTAACAGCAAAACCACACCACAGTGAAATTTTTCAATCCCAACACACACACACACACACACACACACACACACACACATACATCCTTCCTCTAGTTCCCAACCCCAACCCTTGGTGCTCCTTTGTGTTTGCTTACAGTAATACTGCTCTCTGCATTGTACCTGCCTGATTGGGCTGAACCAAGGTACAGGAAACGCTGGGCTGGAGTGACAGCCCCAGTCATTTTCAATGGTTATAATACAATGTCAAGTCAACAGGTGTTGGGCCAGGTGGGAAACAATAGCTGGGAGATTTCTCAGTGTGCTTAGGAAACAGAGGACAGAGAAGGGGCAGCACATGGCCTGGTAGCCAAGGGAAGTATGGCACCAAACTTGCAGTCATATATGCTCACTAAAACAAGTGGACACCAAAGACGTTCAATTTCATGTAAGTTCTTTGGTTATATAAAGAACAGTATCTGTAACCTTTCCTGTAAAGATGGATTTGCAGATTTATCCTTAGGCAATAAAATAATTTTCATCTGCTTATGTAAAAACAATTGCCCAAGTTATGTGGTAATAAAGTCCAGTACCTTATAATTTTCTATAAACATTTTATGTGCATTTTAGTGTGCAGCCTGTCTCTGAACAGACATACTATAGATACACATTTCATATACATAATATATATTATTTACACAAAACAAATTAGAGCATTGACTCAGAGTCTACCATAAGAACTGATTAAAACTGTACAAGAATAAAGTCCGTTTGAATCTGTAGAGGTCTCTACACCGCGGGGATGTGTAGTAGTAAGTGCAAACAAAAATACTGTCACTTAATTCGATCCAGAATTTCAGTTATCATGCTTTCTGGAAAAAGCAGAGGCTGCAAGTCACCCCAGTGGCAAAGTGCTGCTTCTCCAGCTGGGGTGGGGAGGCACGTGGCTCCCTGTGCTGGTCTGAGGTCAGGCTGGGTTGGAGCAAGTTGTAAGATGGGGCTGGTGCTTTTTCATGATGACCAGGTGAACAGAGCTGTTGAGCTGTGGCCAAGCCTGGGCACGCCTGCTGCCTCTCACCGTGTGGCTGTGCTCTCCTGGAATGCAGAGGCTAGTGAGTCTAAGCTCCTTTTCCCTACCTCTACAAGGGGCCCACCCCTAAGGGGGCTCTTTCTGAAGGGGCCTGCTGGACTAAATTTATTATGGAATCCACACCACACAAGAGAAAAACTTAGGCCAAAGATGAACCTCCTACGAAGTGATCCATGCATGCTCTAAGTCACTAAAATCAAGTTTTAGTAAAGAGTTCTCAAATAGACTTTAATACTGTCAGAACAAATGTGCTTGCCTAACACTCAAACCCTAGCAGTGCAAACAACAAAACACTAATATGACAAAAAGCAAACAAAAAACCACAAAAAAATTAAAGCAAAGAAACAAAACCCCCTCTATCCTGTTATTTTGGTTCAACATTTTTTCAGAATCCACTTTTTTTTTGCCAGTCCAGAGGCTTGAACTCAGGGTCTGGGCACTGTCCCTGAGCTGCTTTTGCTCAAGACTAGCATTCTACCACTTGGGCCACAACGCCACTTCTGGCTTTTTCTGCTTATGTGGTACTGAGGAATCAAATCTAGGGCTTCCTGCATGCTAGGCAAGCTCTCTACCACTAAGGCACATTCCCAGCCCAGAATCCACTTTTAAGACAAGCCGTTTTGTCAGGGACACACTATTGCAAGATCTCCTGGAAGAGAAGCTTTTTGTATTTGTTGGGTTCTAAACAATCTAGGCAAGAGGGGTTGTGACATCTCTTCCCTCTTTCGTGGCCCACAGTCTCAGGAAGTCTCTTAGACACTCCACTTTCCCTTACTTTATCCTGAAGGGGGGTTGTGAAAACTTCATTTCCCCTCTTCCACTATATATGGATCAACATTTGAGGGTGGTATAATTCCTGGGAATTTGATGTTTTGCAGGGTGCCTTTCTCATTGAGGGTTGAGAAGAAAACCCAATTCAGGTTTTCATTTCAAGACCAATAGGGGGAAAATGTTTTCCTTGCAAGAACAAATTTGACCAGTGAATGACTTTCTTTTTTAATAGGATGCTGGGAACTGAACTTGGGACCTTATACACGTTGAGCTAGATCCTCCCATATACGTGCATGCTACACTTCTGGCTTTTGTTGGTTAGTTAGAGATAAAAGTCTCATGGACTTTCCTGCCCAGTCTAGTTTCAAACTAACCCTCAGATCTCAGCCTCTTGAGCAGCTAGGATTACAGGCTTGAATCATGAGAACCTAGCAACATTATTACTCAGGGCCTAGGTTCTGTCCCTGTTTTCTATTTGTTTGTTGTTTTTGTGCTCAAGGCTAGTGTTCTGCCATTTGAACTGCAACTCCACTTCTGGCTTTTTGATGGTTAATTGGAGATAAGAGTCTCATGGACTTTTCTGCCCACATTGGCTCTGAACCTGAATCCTCAGATCAGGTATGAGCCACTGGTGCCCAGCAGCTTTATTATTCTTATAACAAGGAGAGAAAAGCTGTTGTTGTTTAACCTGTAAGAGATCACTGGTTAGTTTTTGGTACTTATTTGTGTATGCTGTGTAAATGACGCTACATGAACATGTTAAAGGCTAGCATAGCATGAAAAGAACACACCTATGATGAGTAAGTTTCTCAAACATTGGTTGGAGAAGTACCATAACTATGGCATCCTTCACCAAGCTTTTGCCTTGTTGGGTTTACTCAGTGTTTTTGCCAAGCCATGATTCTCCCACAACTTATATAGGAATGCGACCAAAAAAGGGGGGCAGGAATGGGGGGGGGCCGCGGGGGATGTGAATAGAAAGAAATGGCAGTGCTTAAGAACAGACTGCTTAGAAGAAGGTGATAATCTCTTGTTTACATAATTCATTTTTTTCTGTAGCAAAAACCTATTTTGTTCCAATATGGAAATTAAATTATAAGCCAATCTGGTTAACAGCCAAAATCCAAACTTCAATTGCTCAGGAAATCTGCTCACTCCTTCCTGAAACACCCTTTTTCACCAGATTACTGTTGTTTCTTACAGTTGCTGATGTGGTTTTTCTTTTCTAGTGCTGGGAATGGAATCCAGGACTAATGATCTACCACTAAGCTACACCCTCCCAGTCCAGTGTTTTTCTTTCTTACTGATACAAAGTAAAACAAGATATAGGAATCAAAGGATACACAAATTAATTCTCATGGTAGATGCTATCATTATTTGGAGATAGGCCAAAGCCACCAGAGAATTAACATGACATTAAATGATCCTTAGCCACCTGAATATTAATTCAACATCGATTCATATGCCAATTTCAGAAAATCTATTGGTCCTATATTTCATGGTTCCCAAAGCAGATCTGCTCTTCATAAGGGAATGACCTGCACAGACGGGGAGCTTGCTCCCCAGTGGGCCTGTGTTCCCTACAAAGTTTACTGTGGTGAAGGACCTCTGGGGGTAGGTGTACAATTAGACATGCTCACGGAGAACCCAGAACCCAGTGGGCTGCCTCTGAAGTGTATTACCTGGTTATTCTCTAACTTGTTATGCGTCTGTCCAGCATCCGGTGGCCCACCTGGGACACTCTCACTGTCTGCTTTATTTGGTAGGTGTCTCCTACCAGATGGCTGTCCAGCAGAAGAATCTGTCAAACCATCAAAATCTTTTCCATCTGACACACCCATGAACTCTGTGAAGGAATGATCCTCCAGGATGTTCATGGTATGTTCTACCGTCACCTCCCTGGGGCAGAAATCTCTGGCCAGTTGACCATTTTTGCTGGGGCAGGCATCTAGTTCTGAATGCGAACCATTCCTGCACATCACTTTAGAGTTTTTCTCAGGGGTGCTCTGGGATGAAGTGTTCCCTTTGGCTAAGGCACTGTTTTCCTTGAGTGGCACCACAATGATTTTATCCTTTTCCAAGACTTTTTCTTCCTCCATCAATTCTTTGCTTGAGGATGGTCTGAAATCATGCACAACGGAAGGCCCAGGGTGCTCACTGGAGTCTGGCTCCTTCATCTGAATGGTGAGCTGGTCTGAGCTATCGCTAGAAGGGACCACCATGTCAGACAGAGTGGCATTGGAGGCACTGTGTGAAAAGTAGCCACTGGTAATACTGCTGGTGGTAGGGCTACGAGACACTTCCTTCTCCAAGACCCGTGAGTTTGTCAGATCCACTTTAGAAGAAAACCATTCCCTGTTCTCCAAGCTGGCATTGTAAACACTGAAGTCAGCAAACTCCACAGGTACATAAGGCTGGGAACTTATCAGCTTCCGGTTAATAGCTTCCAGCTCATTTTCTTCCTCTTCAGAGTCCTGGAGGAATGAAGCAAACTTCAGTTACTAACTCTTTGTGGAAACAGTATTATTTTGACAAGTTTTAGCTACTTCACTATGAAAGGCTCTTACTCTCACATCTTCAATTTTTCTCCCTTTTTCTTCAAGTCTGATCAAATCTTGTTACCTATTGTAGACATGAGCATTCTATTCTCTGAGCTCTGTGAATATAAAATCTAATATAAAGGCACTTCTGTGCTCGCTCCAGGTTAATGAGAAACTTTACCTTCTTTGGTTTATGAAAAGGAATGGTTTTAAAGTACAGTGGTTACTCATAACATTTTCTCTTTTCCCATTGAGCAGAAGGAAAGCTCAAAACAGAACGGCCATTCCTGCATTTGGTCTTGAAATCTTCACCTTGGAAGCAAGGTATGGTGGCAAAGGCACTCTGTGAGAAGTTTCTGAACTGTTTTATGAGGGGAAACAGTAACATAAAACTCGCTATAGCAGAAAGGCAAAGAATACAGTTTCAGCCCTTATTCTCAGTATTACACTAAATATGGTAACATAGCAAAATATTAATATTTTTTGAGGGGCATGCATTTGGTTAGAAAATGAGGAACATAGGTAGTGAGTTTAAATGAAACTCTCCATTATGAAGTTTTGGAACTTTGTAAAGATTGCTAACTATGCAAAAATGGGTGTCATTACCTCCTCAATCTCTTATCAAAATGAATGATGGTTAAAAACATTTGGTAGAAAACATTGTATAACATGTGGTATTGTATGTTCAAATAAAAATAAATGTTATTTCTTATTATTTTAAATTAGCCTCATTAACCAGCATCAATGCAAACATTGCCTTTTACTGAGTATAAAACTCAGGGCCTCACACATGCTAGTGCAAGCTCTTTACCACTTGAGCTATGCTTCCAGCCTACAACATTGCTTTATAAATCTGATTTTAAAATTGCCTGAGCATTTGGAGTATTGGTGGTCAGCTGAAAGAGATATGGTCCCTCTCTCAGTGAGATAAGACGTGGGCCCTTGCTTTTATAACAATCCTGAATTCTGCTTGGGTGGCTGCAAGTCTCATTTGAAGCACAACTTAGAACCTTAGAAGTTCTTAGGTTTTTTCCCCCACTGGTCATCTGGTTTGACAAGCTATTTAAATTGCCTGTACAACTGTAAGGACTAACTGACTGTAAAAATGCAGAACCAAAGAATTACTCATTAAGGGGGTGGGGAGAGAAGGGAGGATGACATGTGAGAGACAGCAACCATCACAATGTAGCAGATGGCTGTTTACAAATGATGGTAAGTTTCATTTGTGTGTGTGTGTGTGTGTGTGTGTGTGTGTGTGTGTGTGTCTGTGTGTGTGTGACCAGTACTGGGGCTTGAGCTCTTGTTTGGCTTTTTCGTTCAAGGTTGGTACTCGACCACTTAAACAACAGCTCAATTTCTAGCTTTTTGCTGGTTAACTGGAGATAAGAGTCTCATAGATATCTGCCCTGGCCAGCTTCAACCTGAGATCCTTAGATCTCAGCCTCCTGAGTAACTAGGATTACAGGCATGAGCCACCAGCATCTGGTTTTGGAGAGACTCTTCTCTTCAATTAAGCAACCCCCCCCCAAAAAAAAGCTGGAAGTGGAGCTGTGGCTCAAGTCGTTGAGCAAAAAAGTTCAGGGACAGTACCCAGGTCCTGAGTTCAAGCCCCAGGACCAGAGCAAAAACAACATCAAAAAGTGTGTGGATATTACTACTTCTCAAGAATGATTGCGATTCTTTCCATTAGTCTGACTCACTGATTGTCTGTTTTTTCCAGAATGCAAGAGAAAAAAAAATGAATTAGGATCAAAGAAAGAAATAGTTTACATAAACTTATAATGTGAAAATAAAATCTCAGATCAAACAAACAATGTACTTAAATGCTACCAGAGCACCCTGGAAGACTCTCCGTGGAGTCATTTAAACAGAACAGGCAGTAGCTTCAGAGACAGGAGTGCTCAGAAAGCTGGCTTTCAAAGGAGAGTGGAAGTGCCCTTCTCAAGTCAGACCCCAGTAAGAAAAGAGTTTCATCCAACCATACTTAGCGTATTTCAGGGCACACTTCATTACAAAGTATATTTCAGAGTACACTTCATTACAACATTTAACTGCTGCTTAAAATTTGTTGGGTCAAGAGGATCTGGTTCTATCGCACACTCTATAGGTGAGCTGAGTTTTATGTTAAGCCATTTAACGAAAATAATGACAGGACCCACGTGAACTGTGACCTATATGCTGCACAGCTCTGAGGGGCATCTGGCAGTCCTTGGATGTATTGTGCCAAAATAGATTGTTCTGATAGGTTTAAGTTTTATGTCTATGCACATCAGGGAAGAGAGTCATGACAATGAACAGACAGAACCAATCAGACATAGACCCAGACAATTTAAGAGCTAACTGACTAGCCTACCCCTGAGTCCTTATCAACAGGACAAGAGGTGGTCAGGTAAATGAGTTGATTATGATTCACAGAGATGAGGGGGTAGATGAAGAAGTGAAGGTCTTATATCTTCTTCTCCATCACAAACCAGGACAAAGGCTTTGAACAGAACAGGGAGAACCCAGAAGCAGAGGACAGAAAGAGGGACAGAAAAAAGGGAAAATAGTACATGCCTTCTTCATGATAGGAGCATCATTTCTTTTTGGGGGTGGGGATGGGGGTTGGGGTGGCTGGATATGCAGGTACTGGGGCTTGATCAGAGCCTGGGTGCTGTCCATTAGCTTTTTGCTCAAGACTCTACCACATCTACCACTTAAGCTATATACAACTCCACTTCTGGCTTTTTGATCGTTAATCAGAGATAAAGAGTCTGGAACTTGTCTGCCCAGGCTGGCTTGAAACTCAACCTCCTCAGTAGCTGGGATTACAAGCAGGAGCCACTAGTGCCTGGCTCAGGAACACTGTTTCTTAAGATCTATTAGTAGCCCATGCAGGCAAGTAGCTAACTGCAGGTCAGGATTAAGCTGTAGTTGGTGTTCACACAGTGGTGAGCAATAGCAGCATATTCTGGAGCTGTTAAAGGATCTCACACTAAGGAGGATGGATCTAATACAACCTAGCTGGGAATGAAACCCTCTACACTCTGCCTAACACAGGTCATATGCAGGCATAAACACCATGCAGCCTCCTCTCATCTGAGGCTGGTTTTATTTTTTTTCCTAAGCATTAAGAAGCAACAAAAGAGGGAAAACTGAGACAAAATTGGGAAATTCTTCCAGGCTGGAAAAATATACAGGCTCTCAAAATTTTTCAAATGAGGTTATAAATGGATAATGTGTACTGCTTGGCCTAACTGTTCTCAAAAGCTTTATCTCAAATGTGTTGATTTAAAAAGCACGTACTAGGGAATGGAGTTTTGCAGGTAGGGTTTCAACCTACTGGTGATAGAACAGAGATAAGCCATCCTGAAAGCAAGGCTGAGAACAACAGATTGAGACGTATTTTACCAGCTAACTAACAAAGGTTACCTGTGCTAGAGGGATGATGGTGCAATGGGTGGCAATGAACTACCGAGCAGCTACAAACTACAGAATTATCTTGGCAGTAGCATCAGGCAACATAGAAAAAGCTTTCAAACATATCCACAGCTAAATGCATGATTTACTTACTCCAAGTAAGTGCAATTCCTCTAGGTAGATTAACTTCAGAATCTGGGTCATATGTATAGGCACATTAGAAAGATTTCAGTATTAGTCAAAAGTGATCTCTTAGTTATACTGTTCTTAAGACCAGAATCATCAAAGTGTTTTCTTTTTCTTTTAGCTAAGCAAACTTATACTAAGCAAAAATAAGTGTTAAAAAATAGAATGAACACTTAGAAGAAAAAAAAATCACAAGTCACAGACATATTCATGCAAAAGACTCAACATGTCTTAATTTCTTCTAAAGCATTTGGAAGAGTCCGTGAAAGGGCTTTAAACCCACCACCAGGCAATTATGACAGAAATGGTTCCAGAACTTACAATCTTCTTCTCACGTTTGCTACTGTGTTCTACTGGCATGCTGCTGCCATTGCTTCCTGAGGGTACAATGCAGCCAGGGTTATATGCCTGAGATGGAGACATGCTCTGCAAAGGTTAAGACACACAGATGCATCACACACAAAAGATGACAACCTCTGAAACACCTATTAAGTACATGCATGTTAGACAAGCAATGCAACAGTTCTATTACACATGAGTAATGCAGCAGCCAGTTTTGCAGGCCAGAGTTGTGAACTACTGATGAAATCTGACAGGACTACACAGATTTGGTGGCAAAAAGAAAAGAAAACAAAAGACAACAAAAAAGTTTTCCTTAAAAAACGAATCAATAAAAGCTTTTAGTATTTTCAAAATATCCAGAGGACATCTCTTTCTCATTTGAAAGGTTAAAATGTGTGTATGTGTGTGTGTGTGTGTGTGTGTACTTTGAAAAGCCACTGACACAAAGGAGTAAAACCACAGAAATAACAACCACCAAAAACTTCAACCTCATCCTATGTGCTTGAGAAAGAGGTATCCAAGAACAGGGGCCACAGAGTGATAAACTCGTGCTTGTCTGCATGCAGCATTCCACTTGCGAGTACTAACAGCCATTCTCTGCAGACACCACCAATCCATCCTGTTTCATACCATACAAACTAGCCAGGCATTTACCTCTTGGCTTAGAAGAGGTCTTGCTTCAAGAGCTATCCTTTTCTTATGTTCCTCTTTTACAGGCATTAGGGGTTTGAAAAACTTTGGCGGCTGGGGGGAGAATGCTTTAAAAGGGCTGACCGTTAAGGCATGAGGATTCTCCGATGTACAACCTGAGAAAGACAAAGAGGTGTGAGTATATGGATACAGAGCATTTTTTTTCTCACTTCACCCAGGAAGCTGGGCAATAACCCATTGTTGATAGAGTATGGATATAAAATGTCTCCAAAGGCTCTTCTGTTGAAGGCTCAATCCTCAGCTGGTGGTGTTAGGAAGTGATTGGATTATGAGGGCTCTAACTTCATCTACTGATGAGTTCACAGATGAATGAATTAGGAGATGGGAGAACAAATGGTGGAAGATGGTCATTGGGAGACTTGTCTTCAAAAGGAGTTTCTTGTTTCTGGCCCCTCCTCTCCATCTTTTTGCCCCTTAGTGGGACCAGATGAAGAGCTACCCCTACCACACATTCCTGATGCTATGATATCCTCAGGCCCAGAGCAATGGAATCAACTGACCCTGGCCTGAAACCTCTGCACTCAGAGCCAAGATAAACCCTTTCTTCTTCTGCTTACCCTCAGGTATTTTGTCACAGCAATAGAAAGGGGACTAAAATACTTCACACAGTAGGGTCTTATATAACAGGGAATACATAGCCAAATGGTTAAGCACTGAAATGGACTTTGGCAAAAAGAAGGATAAGTCTGTATAGTCATAAAGCATTACTAAAGGCAAGAGTGAGAAAAACTAGAAGTGATAGTTTTCTACCCTCTTTTGAAAATTGGGTAATACTTACCAGGCCAATTTTAGTTCATGCTGTCTTGCCAAATCTGAATTCTGAGCCCTTAGAGTCAGATATTTTGCTTCCTATATCATCTATCTTATTTCATTTGAAATAAGATAGATGATATAGATTTGACATTTGAAAATATCAACCAGAGGCTTAAGAAGTACACTCAATGAATGAATATTGTATATACTTTCATGTAATTCCCTGTTTTCCTCAGGACAACTAGCTCCATCTAAGAAAAGGTAATTCTTGCTTTCTTGTTCTCTGTGTGTATGTCTCTCTCTCTCTCTGTCTCTGTCTCTGTCTCTCTCTCTCTCTTCCTTGTTTGGCTTCTTTCTCCTTTATTTTCTTAGTTCTTATAACAATGAAATTTAGTAGGTGAAAATACAAAGTATAAGCTGATTTATATTTTCATTTTTTTTTTTTTGTCAGTCATGGGGCCTGAACGCTGGGCCTGAGCACTGTCCCTCAGCTCTTCAGCTCAAGACTAGTGCTCTACCACTTGAGCCATAGCACCACTTAATGGCTTTTTCTGCTTATGTGGTGCATGAGGAATCGAACCAGGGCTTCATGCATGCGAGGCAAGCGCTCTACCACTGAGCCACCTTCCCAGCCCCTGATTTACATTTTCAGAGAATGATGTCCCCTCAGACATTGGGAGGCTGTATTTAGGTAATTTTGTCACTGATCAAATTCACTTCTGGCATCACTTCTGAACCAGATTCATGTTTTCTTCAACGTTCCTTTGAGTACAGAAACATGACAGAGGTAGATATTCCTTTGTAGGGAAAAACCAAGTAAGAATTGCGTGTCTCAAAATGACTTCAAACTTAGAACAGGCTGCAATGAAGAACACTTTGGAAAATCTAAAGCTATATACATAAAGTGCTGTATTGTTGGGCTGAGGCTGTAGCTCAGTGGCAGAGAGACTACTATGTGAGGCCCTCCAGGTTCAAACCCAACCCCCCC